TATCTATCTATCTATCGATCGATCGATGGATCGATCGATCTATCTATTTATCTATCGGTTTATCTATCTATCGATCGATCGATCGATCTATCTATCTATCTATCTATCGATCGATCGATCTATCTATCTATCGGTTTATCTATCTATCTATCTATCTATCTAGGTCACCTCCCGCCTGCAGGGAAGTTGAAACGGGAATTCAGTCTTGGATTCGGATGACCGCACTGCGGACTCTCCAATCATTGAAAACTCCCACCTTTTCATCATCGGAACTTGGGCGGAAGTGCTCCGCCTACTTCTCGATGATTCTGACTGCCAACTTAAAATCCGAAACCCAAGTAAATTACCCTCGACGAATTGAGTAAGGAGTTCACCGCATGACACCCTCCCAACGCATGACACCCGCCGACTCCACCAGTCAGTCCACTTGGTGTTCAAACACTTATGGGGCCTGTGATTTTGGCTGAGTGTCGAATTAACATTGCCGCTTCAGCATGTGTCACTGGTAGGAGGGACGGCCCACTTTTAGATTTCAACTTATCTATTTGAAACCCCAGAAACCTCCCTTCCCCATGTTCGATCCTCAGGGTTTTAACATCTAATTCATGATGATGAACTGAACGTTCAAAATACGAAACCTCATATTTAATCTTCGTTCACATTCTTGAAATCTTCACTCACATAAAACTAGAAAATAATAGGAGTTCCAACTTGAAACCCCCAAAGGCCTTTAAAGAATAGGCGTCAACTTGAAACCTCCTGCCCATTTTTGGGGGAAGGTCAAAGACACTCAGGGATACTCACAGATATCCTTGAGTGTCCCTGAGTGTCTTTGAGTGTCTTGCCCATCTTTTTCGCAGAGTTGTCATTGCCAAAATCTAAGCACATAGTCATAGCCGATGGGGTATCCCCGCTATATCAATTCCGAGTATGAATGTTACATGGCCCTTATTATAACTGCAACTCGTCAGGTTTAGCCCTGTGAGATTCTTCTCTGGTATTTTGGTACGACCACAGTATGTCTGTATGTTTCAACATGCGGGGATAGCAAGTTACCAGAACTCATTCATCGCACTCTCTTGCTCATCCATCAACCACTTCCCTTTCTCGTTCAAAAGAGCTCTCTGTCTTATCACCCCCGAAACAGGATTGACATGGATAGCACAGCTCAGCTCTCCAGGTCCCCAGCAGCAGCAGCAGCAGCAGCAGCAGGAGGAGGAGGAGGAGTAGTAGTAGTAGTAGTAGTGGTAGTAGGTGTTGTGGCAGCGAGCAGGTACTAGCACTATAGCAAATGCTCGCATAAACAAACCAAGCTGGAGGGGTGTAGCTGGTAGTTGGTAGGTAGTAGTTAGGGTGCACGCTTAATTTGGTTTGTTTTACTTTTTCGGTAATTTTTCAAAATCATTGGAATAGAAAAGGCTTCTTATTAGTTCCTAGCTAATTACAGCAATTTCGTGTCCTTGGCAGAGACACAGGTGTCGTAGCTGGCCAAATACATTGGCAGGTTTCAATTTGACTGCCAGCTGGTTAGACTAATTTTTGTACCCCTAGCAGAGACAGGGCAGCAGAGACAGGGCTTTCGTAGCTGGCAAAATACATTGGAATAGTGTGGGTGTCAGAGAAATTCCTACCTATCACAACAGTTTGGTGCAGTTAGCAGAGAAACAGCAAAGATAAAGAGAACTAGCACAGGAGGCATCTTTGAGTTAACAGCTATGAGCCGCGCCACGAGGCAACGCCATATGGCGTCCGACATTGCCAGCTTCTTCTGCTATTTGCCATAGACTGTCCAGAAAAATCTGTCTTGGCATCTGTCCACCTATGGACTGACTCAGGTGGCAGAGAGAACCCTAGAATTGAAGGACACCCACCAGGATGTGAAAGAGAAAGTTGAAGGGATTTAGAAAGAGATGCCCCAAGGAGATTGAAGGCAATTTGAAAGGACTTTGAAGGGAAATTGGGGAAAACTCTGGAGAGGTTTGAAGATTCAACGACAAGACTTCAAGGCCCAAGGCGGTGTTAATTTATTGGGCATTTACAATATTTACATGTCAACCCACATCAGAAACGCAATGACAAAGCAAATGATGTAACATTGCTCCCAGTAACATTGCACACTTTGCGGGTGCAAAGTTTGTGGACCAGGGATCACTGCGCCACAGAGCAGTTCTGTTCTCCGCGCGCTGCCCGCAAGTTTGGTGCTGGCCAAACAATCCGACCCTTAGGATCACAAAGCGTTGCATTGGCGCACGGAGGTGTAAAATGATGCACAGAGCGGCAAAACTCTTGGCTTTTTTAAGCCTCAGGCCTGGGAACTGGCTTGCGTTCGCTTCGGCCATGTTTGAGCTTGTGGTCTCTGATCATGCTACGATTCACCGCTATCAAACGCCAGCTGAACCTCTTCTTCAGGCTCTTGTAGAGCAAGGAAGTTTTGCTAGCTTTTTGCAAATGTTTCACCAAATCTTGCTCACTCTTCCTCTGCTTTTCTTCGCGCTTCCGCTTACGCTCTTGCGAGCGTTGATAGTTGGATGCAGGGCTCATGGCCCAAAAATCAGATGTGTTGGTACTTTTGTGACTGTTAGAGGGGTGCATTGTTGCTTGAGCTTGGATATGGCTTGCGCCAGTGCTTGGGCTCGGGGGAGTTTAGGAACAGGACAGGTCAAAAGATGTCGAATGTTGAAATTGGCGACTAGCGCTTAGCACGCATAATTGGGTCAGAGTCATTGGGTGTGCGTGATGTGAGCCATTTTGCTGAGGTATCTGCAAAGCCTAAAGTCATGTTTCTGCGAGGCACTGCAAAATCTGACATAGACCCCAGAGAATGAGTCTCAGAAAAATGCACTTCTACTTTCACCGTTCTTCTTGACAAACAAGAACGCGCACGTGACAAAGCGTTAAATGAAGCCGAGGCAGTATCTATCTATCTATCTATCTATCTATCAATCTAATCTAATCTAATCTAATCTACAGTAATCTAATCTAATCTAATCTATCCTAATCTATCCTATCTATCTATCTATCTATCTATCTATCTATCTATCTTCCTATCCTATCCTATCCTATCCTATCCTATCTATCTATGTATCTATCCATCTATCTATCCTTCTATCTATCCATCTATCTATCCATCTATCCATCCATCTATCCATCTATCCATCTATCATCTATCCATCTTTCTATCTATCCATCTATCGATCTATCTATCTATCTATCTATCCTATCTATCGATATATCTATCTATCTATCTATAGTGGATGATGATGGTTAGTAAAGGCCAACATCTCCAAATGGTGTCAATTGTTTACCGACTGTAACAGGTACTGGGACACCCCCAAACTATACATACGTGCTGCGGTCAAAAACATGCTCATTCTGCTGCCATCGCACTTCAAGGTTCCCTAATTATCGTTCCACACAGTCCCACCCACTCAACCCGGAGGTGAACAAGATCCAGGCCGGGCCTTGGGGGAGCCAGAGTTGGCAAACCTGATCTGGTTCTGCAAGTAGTCGGGCAGGAAAGCCGTCTGGTTGAAGGCCGCCCAGCTGTCCACCTCAAACACAGGTGGCAAACACCCAGCTTGACATGAAGCAACCTGCTAACCACCTGCTAACACGCAGGTTGAGAGAGTCAGGTGGTTGGGAAGACCTAAAACTAAACAGCCTTGTGTCCACCGTCAGCTCTCTCTCCTCCTCAAAATCAAGATCCTTTCCACCACTCATGAAACCCCCAAAAAGAAGAAAAAGCCTCGGCGTTGGAAGGTCTCAGCTGCTGGCTGAGGGGCTCCAGTGGCTTGGGCCAAGGCCATGCCCAACAACATGAAGTTCGTACTGCTGTAGCAGAACTTCCCCACGAAGGGCTGCGCTTGGCAATCCTCACCGCGCGCCAGGCGCTTGTGCGCTTGTGCGCAACGCTTCGGCAGCGAGGCCAAGGACGCTTCCCCAAAAAAACCAGTGGTGAGGCAGCGCGGCAGGCGCCCTTCTGTCCAACAACGCGCCAGCTGCGCTCAAGACTGGATCAAGCTTCCCGTCGAAGGGCCGTGGGGTCTCCCCAACTCAGTTCAACCATGGGTGGTCATTCAGCGGCCGTGCACTTGGTTCATTGTTGTTCTATACTGACTTTCGTGAGCACGCGGTTCACCTGTTGGAAGCACCCAACAGGTGATCTGCTCGGTTCACCGTGTCTCGAGGCTCGGAGGTATTCAAACCACCCGCGTTTTCGAAGGTTCCATGATAAAACAACACCTCCCACAACCACAACCATGCCACGAAACTGTTCATATCTGTTCATCCTTTCCTTTTTGATTTTGGATGGTCATTCGCAAGCCCATCATCCATCTCATGCAAAAACACCAACATTTAACTGTTGCACATGGCAAACGCGATCCGTGCGATCCCTGCCTTGGAGTGGTTGGCCACCCACGGGACGCTCATGAGCTCCGTCGGCTTGTAGAAGTGATTGGGCGTGGTGTAGAGCTCGGCCCTCAGCGGATCCTGCACCCCACCGCGGGAAACTCGCGCGCGGCGTGTGAGAGGGAGGGCGACCGGCCAAGACAGCTTAAGCACGGCCGCTGCCAGGTCGCGACAAAAACGGCGAGCACCCTGCCCCGAACGCGTCCCATGGCCGGCCTTGGAGATGCCGCCGCCCTTGGAGGGAGTGGCCGTGTCGAAGTCTGGGATGCTCGACCTCGGGATGTTGGACAGTGAGTCGCTGGGTCAGTTCCCCAATGAATTCTCCGACTTCTTGAACAAGAACTCCGAGTTCAAAGCTCCGCCACACACGCGCGCTTCACCAGTCAAGGGGCTGCATGCTCAAGAGCTGCCTCAAGGTCGTCTTGGCCAAGTCGGCACCCCACAACTCCTCCACACTGCTGAAGTTCTGGCTAGGGTCCTTCGCATTGGACAAAGGCCGGCAGCACATGATCTACCATTGGGAGACCTTTTTACTCAGCGCCCTGGACCCAAGACCTCCGAGGAAAGGGTTGCAGGACATCTTTCATGTGTGCTGGAATTGTCGTGCCACGCGAGGAGCATCCTAGAAGGGAAGAGGTGGCGTTGTAACCACCATCACCACCACCGACCAGAAGTGGAAGGTGTTTTTCCTGAATTCATGGGACTGGTTGGGTCTCTACGAATTGGCGGGCATGACGACCCAAGAGTTTTGAGCTGGTTGATTGTCACAATGAGATCTTTTAACATCTCGAGCACCGTGAATTTGGCATCCAGCGCATCATCATCTACATTCATCTACTATCTGAGAAATGTGCAAATACCATCAAAGGCTCATGATTTCAGCAAGCCTGCCCAGGCAAAGATGCAGAAGTCCTTGGCCGCCATCTTCCCCAGCAAGTCATCCACGAGCGGCGCGATCGCATCGTCCAATCCTCAGAACGACCAAACCGCGGAGTCCCAAATCGAACCCCGGTGTGCACCACAGATGGCTTCCAAATTGATGCCCATTCATCCACCAAGCCAATTGCTCAATTGACCCTTGCCCCTTGGCCTCTCTTAACCAATCTTGAGGTTGGGACATCTGCACTCTACACTGTACAGCCCTGACATTTGCACCATCCCGCAATTCCGACCGACCACCAGGTCTTCCTCGCAAGAAGCCCAGACCGCACTCCAGCCCAAAGCCATCCACGGGCACCCTACCAGCAACTTCCATCCCCAACTGCCAGGCACACCCCTCCCCAACCTCCAGAACCCCCTCCACCTCCCCCACCTCCCCACCCCCCTCATCTCATCCCTCACCTAGAACCCCCAGACGCCCTACCGGTTTCACCCAGACCGGCCGCGGCACGGAACTTTCCGCTGCCCACGAGCTTCATCACCGAGGCCGCGGTGAACATCTTGGTGACGCCTCGGGCTCGGACCGGTGACCGGGGGGAAGTTCGGTAAGAAAAAGGAACACCAACTGTGTTATATGTATGTGTATATATCTATATCTATATCTATATCTATTCTGTGTGTGTCATATGCATGTATATATATATATATATATACTGCGCGTGTATAACGATATGATTTATATGCTTGTGTCATCACTTGTGTGTATGTATGTATGTGTATATATATATATATCAGTATCGTTCAGTCTTTCAAGGTCCCTGCCAAGTATCATTTCAATTCTCTTCTACCCACACTCTCTCCGTAAAGACCGTGTGCGCACACACTTTGGACGCGCCAACGCCCCTTTGGTTCTGCACAGGCGCTTCCCCAAGGATAGAGATCGCTCTCTTTCGCCGGCTGCGCATTCTCGAAGTCCACCACGCCACTTGCGACCGCTGCCTTTCCACTGGGCGTGCGGACCTGAGGGCGGTCGAATTCTGTCAGATCGCCGCCATCTTCGGCACGGCTGAAGCACGAAAGAAGGGCGATACATTCACAAAGCGTCATGGTTTTCCACTAGTCACAAGCCATGTGACAACAGGTCCAGTGAGTAGAGTAGGGGGGGGGGCAGCTGTTAAGTGGTTAGGGATAGTCTTTCAAAAAGCCTCCCGCATCTCCTGGCCGCGTTTCGCATGAAGGGTGGGCAGAACTCTTCAAAGTGCTTCTGAAGCCTCCGGGAAGTATGTCTGTTACCTTTGCCTATCACAAAGCCTCCCAACAGGTCAACCGGTGGATGATGCGCTCTTCAGAAGGTTGTGGCTACACATGATGTCAATGATGCATGTGTTGTAGCCATGCATTTCTCACACCGATTCTACCTCTACAACTCTATTCCCATGGGCGTTCTGCTGCGCCGCTTCGACACGATTTTCGCAATGGCGGAGTTCAGCTTCCTGGCGGCCACCGTTCCCAACAGCATCCCAACAAATACCCCATTCGCCCTCCGTTCGAGGCGACCACCATTGCACTCCTAGGGGCTGCGATGCTGAAGCTGCAGTTGTACTCCGCGCTCTTCTTCCGTGCCACTTCCAGCAACAACTCGTCCAGCTTCGTGGAGGCCGCGAGCGGCGTCACCACCCTGGGCTGCAAGGTGGTGCAGCACAGCCATGCGCTCGCTTGAAACACCTAGCCTTGGAAAATCCATGAAAATCCCAAGGAATCTGCCTAAACAAGTGGACTCCAACTTTTCGGTTTGGGAGATCGCCGAGATCGCTGCCACAATACACACTCATTTGCAGGCAGCCAGGTTCACACCCCACGAACCAACTCTTCTGCACTTCCCTTGCGCTCTTCCGGGCCCTTGCGCTCCAACCGCTGCCAAGGCTCACCAGGCAAAGCAAGCGCCACATGGTCCACGCTTTCACGAGCGTTCGGTCAACTCACCGAGCCGAACTTCGGCACAGGTGACGCTCCGGAGCGGTCGTTGGAGCTCGGCCCGAGGGATCCCCCCTCCAAAGTGCCCTTCGAAAGCATTGGAACGTGGGGGGAGTTTTTTTCTCTTCTCGAGGTGCAGGATTTCCCACAAGAAGCACCGAGATCGCAGAACTTATTGGGGCCCCAAAAAGCGGGTTCAAGATGTTCGATGTTCAGGAGGCAAGTGACCATCACTCGGTTTGAAGTCCATTTTTCCGCCAAGAGGGGGGCACGTGACCTTGTATAACTGGTAGGACCATACTGGAGTACCTGATCGTCTGGTTCTTCAACCTTGGTTGGACCACACCCAAGACATCGCAGGGTTTTCTTCGTGCCTCCACCGCGGGAAAGGCGAGAGGCCAGGACGGGTCGGTAGACCAATCACCCAACTAACGAGTTGACTTGTTGGTTAACACGTTGGACCATGGATCCCAGAAAGCCCCAGACGCCACTGGCTTGGTCGGAAACCCACCACCAAGCAGACCGAAGAAATTGGAAGCTGCCGTAGGAGGTCCTGCTCCAAAACCAGAAAGCGATCGCCTTTTTTTGACTCTCCCAGACACGGCCTTCTAAAAGACAGTGAACAAAAGTGCTCTACAAAATGGGTGGTCACAAAGGCGGTTTTTGACTTTCCTGGGAATGATACACACCAATCACTATAGTATCCTGTGGCCTTCAAAACGTCAGGAGGGGATCTACTCCAAAATGCTACCCTGTTACAGTGGCCTTAGGGGGCCCCATTCTGTAGTGGAAATGGGAAGGAGGATGATTGTGCCACACTCAACTTCTCCGGCCCCAAGTTTGTCATTGTCTTGCCTTCGGATGCTCTGTGATCTCAGGCCTGCACGAAGGCGGGAGAGAGGGGAAGCATGGCGAAGCGGGTGCTGGAAAAAGCTTCGCACCAACAAAAAAGGAATTTAACTTGAAACTTGTTGCCTTTCAGCTGGCTTACTCCAGCTGGCTTATATTGGGAGATGAAGTGCCTATCGCCAGGAACTTGAAGTTGAGGTGCAGTCTGCACCCAATGCAGACATGATTTCTCTCCATCTAGTTCTGCCGGGAGGGGAACGATCCATCAAACGGACAAGTTTCAAAACACTGACAAGTGCAAAGAGTGTCGAGCCAAGCTGACATCCCGTTGCCTGGCCTCTCTTTGGGCAACTCCGCTGGCTCAGCCTCTCCTACACGACTTGACAATGGCAAGAAACTGGACAACACTGGGCATGTTCAAACGCCCTTCAAATTAGGCCACCGCAAATGCATACAAGAGAGTCCAGTTGGAAAGGACTATCTGGATATATAAAAGAAATCCCCGCTCCACGCATCAACCGTCTCCGCATTCCGGCATGACCCTCCATTAGTGGGCTGACCCCCAAAAAAGAACACTTAGAGCCTACCTACCACTCGTCTCGACCGACCTGAGCTTCCCGGCGCGGCTTTTGGCTCTGGATGCCCAAGAACTGCTTGTGGGCCAGGAGCTCCTGATGGTGGGTGGATGGCATGTGTGGCCCATCGATGTGCGAAGCCCAGTGTGATTTGGGGGGCGAACCTTGAAGGAGCAGACCTTGAAGAGCTTGAAGGCCCAGGGTTGTGGAGCTCTTTTTGGGACCCATGATCAACCTCGATCTCCAGTGAGCTCAAATTCCAGTCCTCGACCTCTTCCTCAAATGTCTGAGTCTTCTTGATCTCATCCTGCTTCTCGGCTGCAGGTAGTGCCTCAACGACGCTCTGCTCCTGCTGTTCCAACCTCTCTTGGTCGCCCTCACCCTCCTTCACCTCCTCATTCTCCAAGGTATCTGGCACTGCCTCAGCCACAATGGTCTCCTCCTGCTCCAAGGTGCCAGGTGCTGCCTCTGCTAGGGCTTTCTCCTTCTCCATCCCAGGCACGGTTTTCCTCTCCAGTGTCCCTGGAACTGCCTCGCCCAAACTCTTCTCTTCCTTTCCCGAAATCCCAGATGCCGCCCTCCTCTCCAAAGTGCCTGGCGTGGCCTCAAGGATGCTCTTCTCATCCTTCTTTTCCAAGGTTTCAGGCTCTACTTCTATTCTCTTCTCCACCTCCCTCCCCTCCAGCCTCCCACCTTTCTGCCTCTCTCGCGCCTGTTGCAGCCATTCCTCCCAGTCCCGTGCCAAATTACTGGAGCCCTTGCCACGTCGCAGCTCCGGCATGCTCGAGCGCTTCACGTGGAGGCTGCCCGGCACGGGGTGCAAGTCCTCCCACGCCGGGCGCAAGTCCTCCCGCGCCTGCACTTGAGCGGCAAAGAAGGGGACACTCGCAAAGGCTAATCCACTGGAGAGGCGGAGGTGGGCTGAAACTGCTCAGACATGAAGGATATGGGGTCCAAACAATTTGAGGCATGAGGGTGAGCAGCTGGTATGGCGGTTCCACTGACTTGGCTTATAGAGGAGGCTGCTTGCATCTTCCAATGTCCAACTAAGTCTCGCTCCCACTTGTCGGGCACATGATGAAATCTATGCGTTTCACATCGTTTCACGTGTCTGTAGAATGCCATTCTATATGCTGCCGTCAAGAACCAGAAACATACCACTGTCAAAACCCACCACCTCGTCTTCAAAAGGTCAACACATGAAGGGCTCCAAAAAAGCGTCCGCAGGGAGGGAATGGTAACCATGACATGGACATCGATGCATCGATGTCGTGTCGCAAAAAAACTGTTGAGGTGAGTCTCCCTCACCACGTCCGCTGCCTCGATGCGTGGCTCGGAGACGGCAGGTGCCTGGCCAAAGTCTCCAGATCAACAACTAGTTTGGTGGTGAAACCGTGAATCCTCGTGTGAGGGTCACAGACTGTTTTGCGTCCATGGACTTCTTGGATAACCACCATATGCCATCCCCACCAACAGGAATGATGACAGGAGCAAGTTCCTCAACATACCAAACAAACCAGTCGGACAAGCACCACAAGCAGCTGCTGGCTCTTAGCTTGAAGATCGTCCTACAAGGATTGGCAAGGTGGTTGTGCGCGTCCTTCTCGCCTCTTCCCCAGGGGGTCGCCTGTTGCGCGAGGACCACCTGCCCACTGGGAGACCGCAGAGGGACCCAGCCCTCCACCGGCTCACGGATGAAGGCGCCTCAGAAGCACGTGCCAAGTGAACAATGCCGGTTGCTCATGTTGCCCTTCCATTGGTGAAACAGCAGCGAAAAGCCAGCAGCCTCACCGTCACCCCCAAAGGGTTGGATCCAGAAAGAAAGGCATCTCTCATAAAACCTCGCACACGCTCTCTCACATACCTTCCTGATCCGAAGGCTCAAAGCTTCAAAGACAAGAGTCACAGAACCACACCAAACTCTCACCCCTTCCACCCCTTCCCATCCATTCCCCCTTCCAACCGTCCCCCTCCTCATCCACAGGAATGCCCAGGCACGATCATTCCGCAGCTCCTGCACGAAGACCGTCCGCCCGGGCGGCAGGTGGCCCACCACCTCTGTCAGCCTCGACTCGCCTCGGGCCGAGGAGAACGCGTTTCAGACGAAGACGAGGCCGGCTTTGTGCTGAGGCCTCCAAGGTAAGGCCACCCGGATCCATCGACACTCCCAAAATCATCATGGAAAACTGCAAAGAAGAAACCATGAACTATGTGGAGATCCGTGGCTTTGTCGCCTATGAATATACAATGAATCGAGACGACTTATCAAGACTCCACACAGCCCCCAACAAGTCCGACTGGTCCGACCATGGATCACCAAGACCAAGACTCGACCCGTCGCTTGCGACTCGACCCATCCAAATGGATCGGTCGAGCCCGCTTGCTCTACTTGATTCACCTTGCAACAGTGGATGTTCCAGGTGCTCTTTCCAAAATGGTTGGAGGTTCCCAAGGCTTTTTCCAGTGGATGTTCCAAGGCCCAACAACAAATGGATACAAATGGCTTGCTCTGGAAAGTTCACCCCCTTGGGAGATGCCTTGACCAGCCACCAACCCACGATCCACTCGTGACCGCTTCAGGGATGGTGAGATGGTGTCACTCGGTTTGTCCAGGTCCTGCCTTTGCAAACGATGGCCTTGAGGTGTGTCCACCACCAACCTGGCGGCACTGCGAGCAACAGAACAAGCGGGGAGCTACCTGGGAAAAAGAACAAGCTGGCAGTGAGAGGTCTACACGGTAAGGATTGAGAATTATCCTGCATTTTCTTCTGGCACTGAACTGCAGTGAGCAGGTTACTTGCTCGAGTGCACCTACGGACAGCAGCGACCTTTGATACGAATGCCTGGTGAATACCAACATCAATAGAACTCCACCAGCTGGCACTGCCATGTATCCCCCAACATCAGTGACAGAACACCTCTGAGCAAAAGGGTCTCCCCACCACCCCTGCACACACATCCCCCAAATATAACGCCCCACGAACCAGACTATCTTCCTCTCTCGGGTTGAAGGGGCCAAACGAACGCTTCTCAAAAACAACCTCAGAGAGGCGCACCTGGCCCTTCTGCGGGCCTCAGTGAGGAAATCACAAGCCATTCTTGGCGAGATGCCAGGTCCTTTTCCTGGTTGAGACCCCATGTCGCACGTGGTGATCTGTGGCGCGCATTGTTGGGGAGGCTTCGCTGTTTGTCATGCTAAAGTTTTGGAGGTGTCGGGTTGAAGCTGCCAAGCTTCAGAACCTCATGGCGTCAGGAGCCTCATCACCGGGGGGGCTTCCCATTGAAACCACCCGTTCGCCCATTTCATCTGATCCTCTTGGCACTTTGAGCTGCCCGGACGGCGTCGTCTGATTGATACGCTCCTCCACTGCCGAGCGGAGGTGGAGAAACGCGCGCGTCCAAACGCTGGGCAGCAAGTCGGGGGCTGCCTAGAGTTGAGTATGGACACACTACATTGTCACTACCACGACCCTCTAAGGGGTGCCCAATGGAAGCCAAAAGGTCGTGTGGAGTAGTCCATTGGACACCCCTTGGAGGGTCCTGGTACAGGAACCCAGGTGCGCCATGGTCACAAGATGTCTCCATGTCGGTGCGCGATGGTCATCCTACGGTTGCAGAATGTTGCCAGGAGGCACCGAGTGGGGGGTTGTATATATGCATCAAAGTCCCTTCAGGACCTTATTAGAGAACGATCAATCTCTTTTCACGACCCGCAAATGTGCATACAGAGTGCGGGTTGAAGGAAAAACCGATGCAATGACAAACAAAGACCTCACGTCTGCACCTGGCTTCTGATGTGAACAAAGGTGACCTACCGTCGTGGCCACAGTTCTCAGAAGCTCCTATAGGGTCCCAATGGCTCTTGCATTCTTCAATCTCTGTCGAAAAGAACAGCAGGGCCTCCAAGCAAATACTCCACCAAACCCAAACCCCCCAACCCCTAGTCGCAGTCCCACACAGCTGCCACCTTTTCCAAGCCCCCGTGCCACCCATCCCTCCGCCTCCATCTTGACTTCCTCGACTTCTGCCGGCTCAGAACCCTCGGAGCTGGAACTGGAGGCCTGCCACGGGCTGCTTTTACGACACAAATGGGGACCCCTCGCATTCCGTGTGGGAGGATAAGCCTTCTGGATTTGGAGGTCGGGCCTCTCACAGAGTTGCTGAAAAAGTAAGCAAGGTCTGACAAACCAACAGGGTCAACATCGGTACTTCTGCCAAGCAACTTGAGCTCAAAGAAACTGTTTGAGGGAAGTTGAGGGAAGCCTGACGCACGTCTCGGGGTATCCTGGAATGGATCTATTCGATCTATGTATAAGTGGCTCTTTCCTCCTCATTGCCCAGAATCTTATCCCTTGCCTTTATTATCTGTATTCCACTCAACATACATTCACATCTTGAGCAGAACCAAGGATGTTCTTCAAGTCCTGCGTTTCTCCTCCTGCCTCGAGCTGTCGGAGCTGGAGCTGGCCTGGGAGAAAACAAGCCCGGGAGACCGACTCCTCGTCGTGTGCGAGCAAAAAGGGGCGTAGATGTGAGACCCATTGAGCCCCCCGACCTGCCTGAACTTCATCTACAGTAATCTACAGTATATATCAGCGTCCAATTGAGGTGCGTCGAAGTCAATCCCTCACGATGAAACATCGCCGCTTTTGGGCTTGGAAGGCCTGTTGGCACGTATTATACTGCTGGGCAAAAAGGGTCGAAGAACCCGGGAATAGCACAGCACTGCCCTATACCTCCAGCCCTGCCTCAGAACTGGTTGAGGAGGCACTGTTCTTGGCCCCGGCCTGACACCAAGCCAAGTCCACCTTCTCCAACCAGAGACAAGAAGTGACAAGAAAAATAAACATGCCTCCCTGGTGGTGGGATCTCGGGTGGCTGACCTTCAACATAGGAAATGATGATAGAGAGAGCTCACAAGGCATTCCCGGTGGTCACAAAAGAACGGTTGGTAGCCTCACAAGACTTGGATGGTTTGACAAGGAGAATTATGTGAGTCCGTCGCATATCGCCCTCACACTCTTTTCGCCGGCCGGATGTGTTCAGGCGATTGGCGTGAAGCTGGCCATGAAATGATCGGGATGATGGAATTCAATGCGTGCTTCGTAGCCAAATGACCGTGCCCAAGCGTTCAGCAACTCGAGGACGTGAGCCGTCTCGCAGCCAAGGAAGACACAGCTCACTGATTTATAAAAAACCTCTTTAAGCCCTTTGCACTTGTCTTCAGGAAACTGGATAGGGAAAAGTAACTCGAAAGCTTCCTGCGAAGAGACCTGCACAGTGCCAACCGCAGGTGCCATTGACTTTTCCAGCGCTTTTTGCACAATCAGGTTCGCCAGGAGCGCAGCTGTATGTATTCCCCGTTCTTTTACAAGTCTGTCTTTTTCTACCTTTGTCTTTGCCCTGACGCTGGGAAGGCAAACGCCATCCTCCACGATCCTCGGCTACACACTGACGGGTCACTAACGCCACCTCTGGGCACTTCTTCTATACGTTGCTATGCCCAGTCCTACCCTCAGCTACATTTTAATTGCACCAGCATAGACCCAGATAGCTAGGCAGAATGCCACGACCTGTTGACATGCGACTGGCTGCGTACAGCCTAACCTGCCTCCACCACGTCCACAGCCAGCTTACAGCACCAGCACCAGCACCGGCACCTGGCACCCAGCACCAGCACCAGCAACCTGCCACCAGCACCGGCAACCGGCACCGGCACCAGCACCAGCAACCTGTCTCCACCAGCTGCACAGCCAGCTCACAGCACCAGCACCAGCACCGACACCCGGCACCCAGCACCAGCACCCACCACCACCACCAGCAAGCTGTCTCCACCACGTGCACAGCCAGCTCACAGCACCACCACCAGCACCGGCACCCGGCACCCGGCACCCAGCACCAGCGCCAGCAACCTGTCTCCACCACGTGCACAGCCAGCTCACAGCACCAGCACCGGCACCCGGCACCAGCAACCAGCAACCTGTCTCCACCACGTGCACAGCTGGCTCACAGCACCAGCACCGGCACCCAGCACCAGCAACCTGTCTCGAAAGCGCGCACGGGCGACTCATTTTTATTTGAAGTAAGAACCCCATAGCTTCGCTATCTGGTGAAAAACAAACAATACAGTGCTCTTCCAAATCAATTCACCCGAACTTAAACCATCCGTAGCAATCAAGCAAGGAGTCCCAACACGGTTCTCCTCTTTAAGTTCACACTCCAGGAGTCTCTTCAGGCGCCAGGTCGAGGCCAAATCGCTTGACCTCCCGCAGCACGGCTTCCTTTGAGATCATGGGGGGCAGGAGGATTTTCCGATCGCGGTGGTACTCAAGGACGTATTTGAAGAGATCTTGGTCACCTGTGTCGGTTCATGCCGTGGTCACGCCGGTTCATGCTTCGAAAGCAAACCAATCCCCATGCCATCCACAAAACCAGGACAAATATGGACAAATTGCACCACCCACCCACAAAGTTGAAAAGAGCGCAGCAACATGTCTGTAAAAAGCAGAGCAGGCCACGCACCTGTCACTGAAAAAACCGTGTCCCAAGAAAGCCACTCCCAGAAACACGTTTTCGAGATGGGCCCTTTGTCTCGGAGGTTTACCGACGCTGGATGGTCCACCACTACCTGACGACTCCAAGCAATTCAACCACGGCCTTCCACGAAAATCTCCTTCTCATTGCCCTTCTCCTCTGCCAACTGCGTCAGGAGCGAGTTCGGATGCAGACTCAACGTCGGCTCCCGCAGCACGGTGTAGATCTTTCCGCTCACGTTGAACGTCACGAGATCCGAACCATCCGCAGCCCGATGAACGTCGGCTTCGGAACGCTGTCTTTTCATGGCTGGCTGGCTGGAAGTCGCTGCAGGTCGGCCGACACTGGCGCTCAGAATGCCACTCCAACCAACATGGCTTGCGGATCTGTTTCAGCCAGCCGAGGCACAGCCATTCCTTTGGATGAACACCTTCCACTCCTACCTGCCATGAAGCTTGACCAACATCGGAATCAATGAAAGGTGCCCAAGGAGACCCATAGGAAAACCATCATTCTTGTCACAGGAGGTTCCAACCAAGTTCTAACCACGCTGCTTGTCAGATCCTAAAGCTCCTCCCTAACTCCAGCATCTCCCCCCTCACCCACGCCATGATGCGCGTCGGTGAGAATCATGCAAGCACCAATCGAATTGGAAAACCCCTGTTTGTAGAGGACCATTGTCCACTTCCATGTTTAGTTCTAGAGAGGGTACTACACGAATCTGACCGGTTTCTGGTTCCAGTTCAGCATAGCATATGATCATTTCAGCCCACAGTCGCCATCTGGTATGTGAAATGAGGAGTGGTATACCCGTATTGGCCCGGGATACCGCGAAAAGCTAAGGACGAAAAAGAAGTAAGAAAACGGGACATTAGTTTTCTAACACTAGTTAACGGTTCTTAACATTTCACACTTAACATTGTTCTGGTGCCATTTTGGCCCAAGGGCCCACGGCCAACTCTCAAACCTCTCTGAATACTCTCACATTGTTGTGAGAAACACCCGCACTAGGACTGCGGCTGAAGTAATGAGAGTTTGGAATCGCTTGGGCAAAGGAGGCCCAAAGAAAAACAAAAGTTGGCCTGTCTCCAAACACTTGGAGGCGAGCGAGGCCTCCGAAAAGACCACATCGAAGTGTTCATGCTACTCAATGTCAGCGCCTTCAAAAAATGCAGCTAGTAAAGCCACAAGAAGATCTGGGCACAGCCTTCGGGAACTTCAAGGTCAATGGGGTTCTCACCAAACCTCCCTGGATGAACAGCTAACAGTGCCACAGTCACAAACAATGTGCCCTCTGGGCGGCTCGCTGAAAAACATCCCCGGATGTGGCATCGCTCTGTGTTGGTCTGGGACGGACTCCCCGTGCCCGTCAGCCAGCAACATCTGTCTCCGGGGCGGCGACCCATCCATCTTCTCGGTCAAGGAAAATGAGCAATGTTCAAGCAAGTGGTGAGAATGCGACCATAGGCTCTCCATCATCATCACGTTCTTCTGGTTTTAGTCCTTCCCGACACGCTAAGCCAACTGACTTCGCCCAATTTTGAAGCAACTCCTGGAAATGAGCTTCGTCGGAATCAGAAAAGATCTGACAGATGAAGTGTATCTTGTGATCTTTGCACAGTAACACTACGATCTCGCGAAGTGTGACATGAATTTCCCTGTCAGCTACGGTTTCCATCGATTTCCTCAATGCCGCTTGCGCGACCAAGTTCATGAGCAACGCAGCAAAAAGCTTCCCTTCTCTGTCTTGAGTTTCTCGTCTTCCATATTCATCCTTTCGCGGATGCTGGGAATGCAAATGCTTCCCTCCACAATCCTCGGCTGCAAACTTGGTCAACACACCTTGAAGCTCAAAACTGCCAAGACAGTCCTCCAAACCTCGTACCAATCAAACAGATTCCAATAGAAAAAAAACTCCTAGCTTCTCTTCTGGCCTCGGATCCAAGCCGAATCGTTTCACTTCTCTGAGAACCGCTTCCTTCGAGACCACTGAGGGCAGGATGATCTTCCGGTCACAGTGCTATTCCAGGACGTATTTGAAGAGGTCCTGATCACCTACACGGAGCAAACGGCACCATCTCCCAGGCTCCCAACATCCGTTCTTGTGCGACAGCCGACCACCCACGAAGCCGAAGGATCCACCAAGAGACTCGGGGACCCGGACTCTGGAAGGTCTAGAAGTCCAGTTCGACCATTCTTGGCACCGAAGTCCAGTTCGACTGCCTTCATCGGACTCCGGACACCGAACAGAACTCTTGGGAGGGACGGTCATCGATCCTCCGATCACGCCAATCATGGAAATGGCTCGCTGGAACAGTGGCCATCCTCTACAGTGGTTTTAAGGTTAGGATCCGGTACATGTGAGCTCTTGCAGGGTGTAAAGTGTAAAGGGCCAAGAGACCCTGCTGAAAGGAGATTCTTCTCTCTCGGAGTTCTTACCCTGCATTGAAAACCAGCTGGTCCTTTCATACGGTAAACGCCGCAGGCCTTTCAGGCGTTCCATGCCGGCTCATACCCCAAAACCCCCACCCCAAGCAATTCAACGCGCGGCCTTCCGCGAAAATCTCCTTCTCATTGCCCTTCTCCTCTGCCAACTGCGAGTTCGGATGCAGACTCGTCGGCTCCCGCAGACACGGCGGCTCTCATCGCTCACCGCCATGTCCGGTGTAGGAAGCATCGGAACCGCCCGTTCATCGGCGGTTTCCATGGCTGGCTGGCTGGCTGGCTGGGTGGGAGACTTGCACCAAACTGGCTGCAAGGGCAGGAAAATTGGCTCAAAGGACGGTGCAGAAAGTCGGACGACAAACGACACAGAACGTGTCCAGTGCCGCTCTTTGAGGTGCGTGCCTACGAAGACCTTTTTGGCACTGCACCGGCCACATATATTCATCCACGCCAACCAGTTCAAACCATGCAGACTTCCTGACCCTTCTCCGCTGCGAGGACAAACCGAGCGTTCTTGCTTGCACCATTCCCACCCTGCCTCGGCTTTGGCCTTGGGCTTAGCCGCTGCTGCCTGCAGAGGTGGTGTCCGGCGGGACCTCTGGGATGTCTCAATTGAATGTAACTAAAGAATACTAAAGGAAGCGCTGGCAAGAATGAGCAACATAATTCGAAGCATGTATTGTGCAGTGTTTTGCAGCCAAAAAGTGGTCGCCCCCAAGGCCCTCTGCAGAATGCCCCCATGTGTGCAACAACTCTCTGCCGGCAACTGCCCACCCACCCACCCAAATCATCTGCTTAGACCTACCCCAAATGCACATAGCAGTCAACTGCCCTGGGCCACTCGCACCTTGACCTTCCCCTGGGCGTTCGCAGGGCTCCGGGCTTTGGGCGGCTCCTGGCAAAGCCCAGCAGTGCTGTGCTCCCGGAGCTCCCTCCCAACTAATTTCAAGTGAACAGTCAACCATCAAAAGCCACTGAAAGTCAGTCAAGGTCCACAAAGCCGACTCCTCGTGAAAAAAGAAATGCAATCTGATTGACAACCAACTGCCGACTGCAAAGCTGTCTTGCAGGTGCTTCGTGCAGGTGAACCTCCCCACCCGCAACACGCCACCCACGCCTTCGGCTTCGCTTTGGGTGGAGCCGGCACCTTCGGTGGCAAACACCGGCTAAACCGCTGTTGCCCCCAAAAGAGATCAAGGCTATGAACCAAAGAGCGCGAAAACATGAACCGGGGAAGCAACCGGAACAAAGAATGAATGGAACATGAATGTGTCTCCGGTTTCTTCGTTGTTTAACATGAATGCGTTGCAAAAGCAAAAGCATCGTCAAAAATATGTTCCCATATGTTCGATCAACCCGTGTTTGGCAGAAGCCAACCCAAGTTGAAAAGTGCTGGAATACCAACATGGTTCTCAACACCCGAATGTCCTCTCCCAACCTTATCCTCTTCTAATCTCACATGCTATTTCTATCTATTTCTGCTATGGAATGCTTCCCCAAGACTCCCACGGCCTCGGATTCACTTCGCTTGGACACACGGACCCCGAATGGCCTCGCTGCTCGAGCTCGACTCACTGGTCTCCTGCGAGCTGCGAGCTGCCGGGCGCATCGCGCCGGTGCGTGATCCCACGAAAAGTAAGAACGGATTCAAAAAAGAAACTGATTCAGGATACCTGCAAAAGGGTGAAACCCATTGAATCATTGTATCAACCAACTAACTCATGATTTCCATGACATCTATGAGGACGTTGTATCCCATATGGTTCTGGCCTGCTGACAGCACCTGGCTCAAAACAAAACCTGCGCTTTGGAGCCTGGAACGAACCATCTGAGCCGCTCCTGTCGTGCAGGACCAGCCAGCTGCTGCGACTTTTGCGGTGGCCCTGCTTCTCCAGTTGGCTCTTCCTGCATGCCGTGCTTCATATCATGGAAACAAGGGTATATAGAGTGATGGCACTAAGGGCAATGGCAGATGGCAAACATTCTTCTCAGCCTGGCAACTCCTTTGAAGTTTGGGAATCCTTTAAAAAAATGCCACCCAAAAAAAGGAGCAACCAAATCCTCGCAAGAGTGCAACAGCTCCCCCCACCCCACCTGCGCGGGGCGTCGCCGGGGCCCACCGATCCAACACGGCGCTTCGCCCCCGCCTGCACCAGCGCCGGCGCCCTCTGCGGCGTGATCACCGAGACCCAGCCCTCGTAGGGCTCCACGAGGCGCGCCTGGGGCGAAGATCCCTCAAGCACTTCCCAAGCAGTCCCCCCTAGTAGTACGCGGGCTCTTCTCCGCTCAAAAACCTCGGGAGAGGTCGAAAGCCTCCTACAGCAGATGGACTGCAAGTGTCCCACATTCTTCTGAACTCTGGAATGGCGCCAGCGGCGCCTGTAGTTTGAGAAAGCCCACTATTGTCTTGCTAAGGGTTTGATGATTTGGTCCACCTGGAGGGTCCAGGACCAACAAAGCAATCTTTTTTCGCATGGCCCCTCAGGATCCTCCTGGGAGAATGCCAAACTAGACTGAATTAAATGAAAGAAGAGTCTAACAAACACGGGCTATCAATGGATTTTGGGGTACTTTGGGGTTGACTCATGGCCCTGGCTGTATTCTACGAGCTTCTGAAGTCATCACCATGGATGGCACTGTTGTGAGTGGGGAGATGTCACTTGATCAGTGAGGGCGATGAAGATTTCTTCACCAAGTTGGGCCCTTGAGCTCCAGCCACAGCTTCTCCCACCCCGCCCCGTCTTTCTGCCAGGCATTCGTGAAATCCAAAGAGAATGGAAGTTCTACGGGTCTATATCTACCACTACTACACACCACATCAAGATACATCAAATCTAAAAACGATCTGGTAGCATTTGGCAA